AGAAGTGATGGCAGTATTGGCATTATGTGGTTTTTCTGAGCAAGAGAGCTGAAAGAATAAGAAATTACGGTAACGTGATATCCCTAACTCTAAGGATAATGTCCTGGCCACTAGTGGATTCCTCTCCCTGCACAGGGACTGGAGGCAACACAGCCAAGGGGCGGCGCCCAAGGAGCAGGATAAAAAGAATTGTGATGGGCGGGGCCCATGGGGCTTGGTGGGCGTGCCCAGGGTGCCAAGCAGTTACAGTGTTCTGGTCAGGCGCGGGCGCCACGGGCGCTCCGAGGCTCTGCGCCATGTGCCTATCCTGTAAGGGAGACGAAGCTTCCCAAGTCAACCCCGTGAGTCCTCAGAGACCCTTAACGCCCTTGGGACTTTGTGCTTGTAGGCGAGTTGGTCCTGGGGTTTGGTAGCTCCGGGGTGAAGTAGACAGACTAGGTCCTGAGCCGCAATACCGAGTTGGGAGGAGAGAAATCCCACAAGGCCCCGTCTTGAACTCTGGACGTTCAGTTAGCAATTGTTGACTGATGTGCACTGGCAAGTAGGGTGCGGGGTTAGGGGGGGGGGGAGGGGGCTGGGAGAAAGTTCTCGATATTCACGTGGGCAGGGAATTACTTTGGGGTTTTAGGGATGAAGAAAACTGGATCAAAATGGAGAGAATATTTAAAGCGTGGTTCAGAAGGCAGTGGGAGCCCCATAATACTAACAGCCAAGCTCTGGGTGCCTCAGAAAACCACACAACCTCCTGGGGCTTGTCAGTCACCTCAGCTTTCTGGGGCTTTAGCAGCCCAGATTAGAGACAGTCAGAGCTAGTTCCCTCCGCAAAGAAGATGGTGACAGCATTAAAGCAGGGTTAGAGAAGAGCAAAGAAAATCAAAGACTCATGGAAACAATTAGTTTAAAGGATTAGTGGTCCACTAGAGCCTCAGGCTCAGGACCCTGAGACCAAAAGAACTAGATGGTGCCTGGCTACCACTGCCAACCACTCCTGTCAAAATTGGAGATGCTGAATAGACTTGGAGAAAAAAAAATGTGGAACAAAACTGGTCAGTAGAGACTGGTGAAACTCCTGACACCAAGACTTTGGACCCTAGTCACCTTTTGGGCTTGGAATTGGACTCAGTCCCATGGCTGACTTTCAGCCAAACAATAGACAGGCCTACACAGTTGAACTATACTACAGCTCGGCCCTGCACTCCTTAGAACAATCAGCCAGGGGAGTCAGAACAGCAGCATTTGCACAGGGAGACAGCTAGGGAGGCAGGAATGCATGGGCAGGAAATATGCAGGGAAAGGGTGACCACAGGAAGCAGGAAGAGAGCTGTTACATTGTGGGGATTGTAATCAGTGTCACAAAACAAATGTGTATAAATTGTTGAATGCTAAATGAATGTGTCCTATACAATTTCACCCAAATCACAATAAAATGTTAATGATAATAATAAAGTCAAGTGCCAGCAGAAACATGAATTTGTGCATTTTTTTGTACATCTTTTTCCTCCAGCATAAATTTTTAGGTATTTCCTGCAATGAGGTTGGTAGCTGGTTCTTTTTTTTTTTTTTTTAATACTGTACTCACCCTCCACCCCAATTTTTGCCCTAAATGATGTTCTCATTCTGATCCTGTCTCTTGTAGGTGAGTTAATTTCCATATACAATATAAACAAAGTGATAATAGTATAGACTTCATATAGTAATTTATTGGTTTTCTCCTAACTTTTATGTCTTCTTAAAAATTTTACATGCTATATAGGAAGGACCAAGAACGAGTAACCCTACAGAGATCGTTAGGAATCAGGTAATGTTTAAATAAATAATTTGATTCTGGTTGTCTGGTAGCATAGTGCCTAAGGCACTTGACTGCTAACCAGAAGGCTGGCGTTTCAAACCCACCAGCCACTCCTCGAAAGGAAGAGGGGGCAATCTACTTCCATAGTGATACTGCCTCAGAAACCCAAGGAGGGGTCACTATGAGTCGGGTCCGACTCGACGGCACATAACAACAACAACAACTTTTTAATTGTTCCTTTATGCTTGGTTTCTAGAACATGCTAGATCTTTCAATAACTATACACTTCTGCAATACTATTAGAATGGGTTGTAACAAGGGTAACCTAAAGGGCTTATATTCTTATTTTTTATTGTAACATTTGATACACAAAAATATATGGAACATAAATAATTTGTAAAGCAGCAGAATAAAATGCACCTCCAATTTAAGAATTAAAACATTACAGGTATCCTTGAATTCATCAAGGATCTCCTTCCTTATCCTAGCCTCCTGCATCTCTTCCAGGGGTAACCACTATCTTGAATATTCTGTTTATTAATTTCTTCTTTTTCCTTTCATAGTTTTGTCACCTATCTACCTTTAATGGTGTGTTGGTTTTGAAACTTTATAAACATAGGATCACACAAAATTTAGTGTGTGATTAACTCTTTCTTCTCAACATTTTTTTTAAGATTCAGACATATTGGGGGATACAGTGATATCTGCACTGTTGTTTAATATTTCACTGTGAAATATATCACAGTTCATTATCCTTTCTCCTATTGGTGGAGACTGCATGGTCTTCAAAGTGCTGATGTGAAGATTCTAGTACATGTCTCCTTTGCCAATATGCAAGAGGTTCACTTGATTATTTAGGTAGGAGGAAAATGGTTAGATCTTAAGGTAAACTAATTTTTCATGGATATAAGGTAATGCCACATTATTTTCAAAGCAATTGTATCAATTTAACTCCTCTCCACCCCAACACTGTATTTCATTCATTATCTTCAGAGCATTCTAGTTTTATCCCCACTAGGGCTGTCCTACTTATAGCTGCCATGCAATGAATGTATAGAAAGCTATGGGGGATGTGCAACATTTAAGAAGAGTAAAGTATAAATATAGGTTTTGTATTCTTATTCTTAAAAAGAAAATCCATTTGGTGTTTTTAAATGAATGTTTTTGTTGTTGTTGTTATGTGCCGCCAAGTCAGACCCAACTCATAGCGACCCCTCCTTGGGTTTCTGAGGCAATATCAGTACAGAAGTAGATTGCCCCTTCTTCCTTCCAAGGAGTGGCTGGTGGGTTTGAACTGTCAGCCTTCTGGTTAGCAGTCAAGTGCCTTAGCCACTAGGCTACCAGAGCCCCTTTTAAATGAATATTGCCTTTAAAATAAAAGCAAACATGATAGATGCTGTGAATCTGGCATCTATCTAAATAATTTGCACAGTTGGGGCAGTGTTAATCAAGAATAAATAGTGTCATCTGATAACCCTAAATGACGCTTCAGTATGTCTTCTGCATAGATGACCCACACATTGAGAGAACAGTTTCTTCTTCTATCTAGCCATTTAAACTATATGCACTGGTTTGTTTTTTTATTGACACAAAACCAAAACTATAATCAGCATGTTACCTTTCTATTTTGTAAAAAGTATGATTTGTTTTCATTTAATCTTCCCAAAGTCCACAACTAAACGTATTCTGCACCTGCAAGATATGATGAAGCGGAAGAGGAAACTAAGTAAACAGTTTTCAAGGCCTGCTCCTGTTCCAGAACCAGGACTCCTAGTAAGTATAGACACTTCACTGAAATTAACAGATACCGAAAAATGCAACAGACATCCTCCTTTTTAATTTAGGTAATATTCATTCTAAATTCTGAGGTTCTTTTTTTCATTTGAGAAATTTGTACTTTCAGTTTTGGAAAATCAAAAAATCAAAAAATCCTCTAATAAAACGCTCAATTATGATTTAAATCTCCTTTGCAGTCCTTTCCTGAAGCTGATGTAGTATAATGAAGATCATTGAAACCTGGTCATTCTGAATTCCATTTCTTGCTTGGCCATATGTTTTCTGACTGCCCAAGTTCATTCCCTTCAGTTTTTTGGATTACATTACTAGGAAAGTAAATTGCAAACCCTCCTGCCAAGTAGTCATTCAACCTAGCCTTGAACACCTGAAACATCAGAAAACTTTCTGCACCAAGTACAGCTATTTTGATCTTTGCCTATCTCTGGATTTAAAAGTTCTTCCACATAATCAGTCATATTGCCTCCATGAGCCTTATGCATGTGTATTAATTTTATTTCTTATAGCCAGACATTACTATAATGCCCCTTCCATTTGCAAGTCTTTCCATTATTTGAGGACAACGATTTCCTTGCCCCCTACCTAGGCTTTTCTTCATATTCCTCAGGCATCCCTCCTTCAAACTAGTGGTAAGCCCTAGCCTTATTCTTGGAAAACTCTGGGATCATGATTCTATTTGATATAGAAATATTTGGTGAAAGGGTTTGTTTGTTTGTTTTTCCTGACTATTTAAGGTTCCTCCCCCTCCCGTTAGTTTCATTTCTGAAAGAAAATACAAGGATGACTACTGAATAATTTTTTCACTTACGAATTGGTAATTTTAGCCAATGGAGTATACTGTATTTTTTTTTCTCCAAATAAGTACTCCTAATCCAGGTACTCTAGAACTGATAAGGTGGTTCCAAAAATCATCCAAATCCTAAATTCCTTCTATTTTGATGATCTTCCACTTTATCTCATGGCTTTTACCTCTATAGTGTTCCACAAGGAAACAGTATCCAAAAAAACCCAAACTCACTGCCTGTGGAGTCGATTCTGACTCATAGTGACCCCTCCTTGGGTTACCAAGGTTGTAAATCTTTAGGGATATAGATTGCCACTTCCCAGGGGTGGCTGGTGGGTTTGAACTGCCAGCCTTCTGCTTAAGAGTCAAATGCCCTAGGCACTATGCCACCAGAGAAGGAAAAAAGACATTTGCCAGTTGAGCTAGTCCCATTTTGATAAAGGGGAAAAAAATAAAAACTTCCTTAGACATTCACTTATATTTCATTGCTCACACCTGGGTCACTGTCCACCCTCAGCTGCCAGGAAGTTTGTTTTGTCTTGTTACCGGCTGTCAAATCAGCTGTGACTCATGGCAACCCTGTGGACAATGGACATTCAGATGATCAGTTTTGGATCAGATAATGTTGCATTCTGAACCACAGGGTTTTTGTTGGCTGATTTTCAAAATCAGATCACCGGGCCTTTCTTCTTAGTCTTTCTTACTGTGGAAACTCTGCTGAAACCCTTCTAGTATCATATCAACACACAAGGAAGTTCGAGAGGTAAAACATTTAACTGGCTTCTTTGACTCCTTGATCCCCTACAGAGGACTGAGATTCTGTCCTTTATGGAAGAAAGTGCCTTCCTTCCTTTTTCAGGTGGTGATGATCTTTCTTTCTACAACTCATCCACCACCCAAAGTTTCTGGAGTAAATGCATAATATGAATAAAGGGGGACCTCATTAGCTTTGGTTACCATTTGTTTTTGCATAGCCAAGGGAATTTATGCATTGCCACACAGAAACCCAGTATCAATGTTTGTAATCCCATCCCCTAATGATGGCCTCCCTCATAACCATTGAGATATGCCTGCACAACATATTCTACACATGTTCAGTTTTCCCTTCATAGAAAATAATGTGAATGCAGAGAGAAGACAGAAATGGTTCCTGAGACCACCTTTCTATGTTGTTGTTGTTGTTGTTGTTACATGCAGTCGAGTCGGACCCTACTCATAGCGATCCCTCCTTGGGTTTCCGAGGCAGTATCACTACGGAAGTAGATTGCCCCATCTTCCTTCCGAGGAGTGGCTGGTGGGTTTGAACCGCCAGCCTTCTGGTTAGCAGTCAAGTGCCTCAGGCACTACACTAGCAGAGCTCCCTATAGCATATACCAATAGCTATCACTTTCTGAACGCTTTAACTCTTGATTCATTTCTACAATTACTTTGGCTACTCTTTCTATCCCTTTATCAATTCAGATACCTTGTGCCATCTGTCTTCTTTTTTCACCACTTGCCAAGCCATTTAGACTTTTCCATCAAGAATCTCTTTTCTTTCTTCAGCTGCTAGATATTTTTATAAAACTGTCCTATATCAATAAATAATGCCATCAATAAATAATGCTTATTAACTTAAGCATTCAGAGACTACTGACATGTTTCACAGATAAATACAAATACAAAAAATAAAATACATGAAAAATGAAATGTCTGAGCTCCATCTGGTTCCCATGTATACATTCTCCTTAATACAAGGATTCTGGAATTTGTTCAGAATGTGCAGATATATCCTACTGGCAGTATTAGGCAATCATGAGAGCTCCTTGTAAAAGAGAAATACATCCTTCTTCCAAAACAGGACAGCATAGCCTAAAGTATACACTATGTTAAAGAGCTCCTCAAGGCTGGCCAAGGACTAATAATAGCAAGGAAAAGCTGTTAAAACCCTATTCTAGTTTTTCTTATACACCATGACCAAGATGTTTATCTCCTATTTCAACTCAGTGCTCTCAGTATATATCAAATATGGTGAAAGACCAACTTTGTTTGATGCTTTCGTAACATACAATCAAAATGTCATAGTAATATCAAATTAGTATAAAAGAATATGAATGCTTACTGTCAATTTCTCTATTAATCTTGTCTCAGAAACCAAATCACACTAACACTGCTTTAAATTGTACTTATTCTTTCACCTTTTTCTTTGCTTGTATCTGTTGCATATTGTTTTGTTATAAGCAGTAACCGTGCTGATACTCTCTTCTCATTTTCTTTCTGATTAATATTTGACATCAGCGAAGAATACATGAACATTTTATTTTTCCAACTTAGTTTGGGGTGGAAATAAAGTTGGAGTCTCTGGTAGCATAGTGCCTAAGGCACTTGACTGCTAACCTTCCTCGGAAGGAAGGCTGGGCTATTGTTCTGGTTACCTAGTACTGCTCTGACAAGAATGTACCACAAATGGGATGGCCTTAACAAACAGGAATTTATTCTCTAACAGTTTGGAGGCATTAAGTCCAAGTTCAAAATGCCAGGCTCTAGGGGCTGGGTGGAAACCCCTCAACCTTGGGGTACCGCTCTGCCTCCTGCTCCCAGCCCACTGGAGCTAGAGGTATTTCTTCAGTCAGACAGCTGCTGGCTGCTGAGGCTGACAAACCCAAAGTTGACAAGTAAAAAGGCAGAGTCGCAATGTTACCAAACCACACGGCAGGCCATTAATTTAAGCCCATTTTAAGTCCCAAAGTCAGCAGAGTATGGCAGGCTGCTGAACAATGACATGGCTATATGCAGGGTCCAAGCGTGCCATAAACTAGAGACCATTCCCAAAGCTGCTTCTTATACACGGAAAGCAAACCAGATACCCAAAGGCAGCTACTCAGCTGCTCACAGCAGATTCCACCATGGAGTTGATTACCAGTCTCATCATGGGGAATACTACATCCAGCTGCCCAGCCACTCAACCAGGCCTAGCCAAGTTCACACACACACATAACCACCACAGCAATCTACTTCCATAGTGATACTGCCTTGGAAACCCAAGGAGGGGTTGCTCTGAGTCAGCTCTGACTTGATGGCATATATCAATAACAACAACATACAAATAAGTGTTTTACTGAGCCCAGCAGGGCAGAGGACGCATAATGAAACCAGAAGATCCAGTTGTGAAAAGAAATTTGAAAATGTAATTTTCCTTTTTTTTTAAGTGAGAAATGTATTTTTTTATTTCATTATATTTTATATTTGTGTGTATGTGTATCCACATCTTTGCTTCTGTATATTTAAATTCTATGTTGCTGTTAGGTGCCATCGAGTTGCCTCCAACTCATAGCTACCCCGTGTACAACAGAATGAAACACTGTCATGTCCTGCACCACCCCCATAATCCTTGCTATACTTGAGCCCATCATTGCAGCCACCGTGTCAATCCATCTCATTCAGGGTCTTCCCCTTCTTCACTGACTCTCTACTTTACCAAGCATGATATCCTCCTCCAGGGAATGGTCCCTTCTGACAACATGACCGAAGTACGTGAGATGAAGTCTGAAGCACTCTGACTGCACTTCTTCCAGGACACACTTGTTTGTTCTTCTGAAATACTGTTGTAAGGTTAAATTTCCAGCAATATTAATATACACAATAATTCCATTTTTTATTTATTTTATTTGTCCCTGTAATTCACTTTATTATGAATCATTTCAAGACTTAAAAGACTCTCAACAGATAGATAGAATATGCTTTCTCAGTCAGTCATAGACCATAACACTTCAAGAAAACATTCCCACTTTTTAACATCTCTGTCACATGCATTATATTTGAGGTAAGACTTTGTCTTCTACTCAAAACTGATATTAAGGGTTTGCCCAAATTCTTCCTGCTTGCAGTGTTTGCTGTCTGATGCATAGAATTGCTTTTATATCATATCCATCACCAGATATAATTTCTTTGATAATGTTGTTGTTGTTGTTATGTGCCGTCGAGTCGGCCCCAACTCATAGCGACCCCACCTTGGGTTTCCGACGCAGTATCACTACGCAAGTAGGATTGCCCAACCTTCCTTCCGAGGAGTGGCTGGTGGGTTTGAACCGCCAGCCTTCTGGTTAGCTTTTCATATCTGTCTTCTGTCTGTATGTGACCTTACTTTAATTCAGAATCTTATTTCTGGTTCTCTGTAAAAATATTTTTGTATAAGAAATGTTTCTCATTCTGAGACCTTTCCTAAATGATTTATAATTTGCATGAGCTTTTTCTTACATTGACTTTAATTATTTTTTCTTTGTATTCTAATCTCTCCTAGTGGACACACGGATAAAGCGGAGTCTACATGGAAGGAGCAATGTGCCAGACCAGAAGCAAGGATTACTAATATCAAGTGGCACCTCATCTTTGATTGCATTTGCAAGGAAAGGCAGTACTCTGCCATTTCACCAAAATAAACAC